GTTGTTGTTTTTTAAACAGAATACCAGCAGCAGTCCTTTGGGTGTGGAGTGCATACTTGAGTCCCCGGCGGCCTCTCCCACCTTGCTCCCCTTCCCTTCCAGGCCGTGAGTACCGTCTTGAGAAGTGGACCACAGCCGGGGCGCTCAGAACTTGACCTGCCACCCGGCGTTGCTCACGCTGGCACAGTTTGTCCTGCAGCTGGAGGGGCAGTGAGGGCCAAGCAGCCTCAGGTTGTTCTGAGGGGTCGGCGGTGTGACGCTGCAGTACACGGGCACCCCCGCGGCTGGGAGAGGCCCTGGGCCCGCCTGGTTAGGCAGCACGACTGGCTGTTGGTAGGACTGCTGGGGCAGTCCTTGAGAACCCTGGGTCATTGGCACCTGTCAGGAGACACAGAAGAGAACCCTGGATGAACAGGTGGTTTTTGGATTTCCACTGAGCTACAGGGATGTCATCAAACACATTCAAGCTTTTGGGTTAGACCTGACAGGTCACCGAGCGTGCTCTGCCTTTGTTTTTACTGAAGTCCAGTCAGTTCACAGTGTTGGGCTGCTGTCTGGTGCACAGCGCAGGGCCCCAGTTACTTAGATACTTTCTTTTCATATTCTTTTTCATTATCGGTTACTACAAAGTACTGAATATAATGACCTATGCTGTATATACAGTAGAAAGAAGGACCCTGTTAATTTATCTTATATACAGTAGTTAGTGTTTGCTAATCCCAAACTCCCAATTTATCCCTTCCCCGCCTTTCCTCTTTGGTAACCATAAGTTTCTTTTCTATGTCTATGAGTCTGTTTCTGCTTTGTAAATAAGTTCATTTGTGTCTTTTTTATTAGATTCCACATATAAGTGATATCATATGGTATTTTTCTTTCTCTTTCAGGCTTTCTTCAAGCGGCATGACAATCTGCAGATCCATCCGTGTTGCTGCAGATGGCATTTCATTTTTTGTGGCTGAATAGTATTCCAGCGTGTGTGTGTTTATGTATCTGTGTGTGTGTACATACATACATATATGTACACACACACAACAACTTCTGTATCCAGTCCTGTCAGTGGACATTTAGGCTGCTTCGGCGTCTTGGCTGTTGTATATAGACCAGCTCTACCTTTTATTGGCTGTTTAACATTGGACAACCTCTCTGATTCTCTAACTCCATTTGCCTAATGACACCTACTTCAGAGTGCCACAGGAAAGATGGCAGGGATGATGTCCAGTTTTGGGGGCATGTCTGGCTAGAAGTAAATGCTCAGAAATGTTAGTTCCTTCCTCCTTCCTTCCTCCCTCGCTCCAGGCTCTCTAGGGACTACAGTCTAGACCTCCCATTCTGGATTTCTCTCGGTTTCGGAAGGCCATGCTCCCATTCTGGTCTTTTGCAGACAGAGTGGCCTGGAGCCATTCAAGGTGTAAAAGGGGCGTTTGTCCCAGGGACCTCCCTCCTTCCCATCCTGCAGGTTAGAGAACATCTCACGGAGCTGGAGGTACAAACCGACGCACTGTGAAGGACTGTCAGTGCAGGAGGACCGAGGACCGGTTCTCTGGGGCCAGAAGTACCTGGTGCAGCTAAACTGAACGTAGTGCTTCCCTAGCCCTTCGCTTCCACTCCCCGTGTTTTTCAGGGTATGAAGTACAGAAAGGGGCACTTTTTAAATACTCAATGTGGGCTTGGTCTGGAAAGTGCAATTGTTAGGTCCGAGAAACGCCCTCTGAAGCTGAGATACCACGTTAAAGTCTCCTGTAACTTACATTTGCAGTGAAATACAGTTTCTTCGTGTACAGCAACACAGGAAAATCTGTCACGGAGACTTTCTCCTAGTAAGTGCCATTTCAATAGAATGCCCGAAGCTCAGCAGGAGTAGAACTCCAAGGAATTTTTTTTCCCATAAATGGAAAGTTTATACGGAACCACACTTGGCAGGGAATTCAAAAGCCATTGTAGTTATAGAAATAGGTATTTCCCATTTTCTACCTACTATAATCTTGACTCAAAATCTAACATCAGTGACTGCACCCAGCACCCACGCAGCCGGCCACCCGACTGGGAGACAGACCCACAGACTCTACTTTGGCAAATTCTACTTTATAAAGCACAGTTTTCCAAGCGCCCGACACACACCTGGTAAGAGGACATGGTTGGGTAGGAGACCATCACGCTCTGCACGGGAGCCCCCTGTGGGCTGCTCAGCACGCCCTGACTGGGAGGCGACTGCTGCACCCCCACGAGGCCTTGGAACCCCTGCTGACCAGACAGCACCGGCTGGTAACCTGTGAAGAGAAAAGCACCTTTTGAACTGGTTGTACCAAGAAGAATGAAGACAGTGTCGCTTGGGGTAAGGGTACTTGTTCACAGGGCAGCCTCTCAGCATTTCAGCCCCTGCCCGTATCAGGACTGCTTGTTTCCTATGGATGCATTTTTTGCTGCTGAGAGTGGACCATGATGACTCCAAAAAATCCACTGATGCTTCTGTCCTTAAGAAGGGCCCAGTGAGCACACTGTGACGTGGTGAATGCCTCCTGGTGCAGACGTCAGTTGACAGTTGCACATTACGCCTTTCATATTTGACGTCTGCTTTGGCAGCAGGGATATTTGGAGAAGTCACCCATTATCAGGGTTGTTTTTCCTAATTAAATCGACTCATTCTCTTACCCTCTGACTTTTCTGCACTACCTCACTCAGAGATTTCCAAACAGCCTGTCATCGTAGGACGCATTCTATTTCCGAGGCCCTACTGAACAGTGTGAGTCACTACCCTACATAATTCGATGTTCATTGCTGTAGGAAAACACAACAGTGAGTGAAATGTTGTTGCTTTTATTCTGTTTCACCACTAGCTCCTGAGGACATTCTGGCAAAACACTCCACTTAACGACCATGTCCATATACTAGATAACACAGAATACAGCAGTTAAAGACTGTGTCTGTTCATTTCCATCCAGTGGGCCAACTGGTAAGGTTTCTTTTCTTTCTTATTTTAATCCGTACCATAAGACGTGGTTTAAAATGCAGGCAGGCTGCAGGCTGTGAACTGTTTGTATAAATATTGGGAAGAAAGTTATGATGGGAGGTGAAAATGACATGGTGATAGAGAAATGAAACAGATTTACTTCCTGCTGCACAAGGAGAACCTTCCAGCTCCCATAGTAACTGTACTGCGGGCCCAGGAGTCAGTGGGACCCCTGTCTTAGTACATTTCTCAGAGAAGAAAATCTAGGATTCTAAAGATTCTACAACGCAAAGTTTTACAACCAGATTTTTAAAATAGAAATGAAGAGTCAAGAAAAATTCCTAATCAATGTGCATTGTTTATAAACAGCCTGTGTTGTGAGTGCCTAGGAGAGTTTGAATGGAGGTCTTCAAAACAGGCAACACTTTGAGATCCTTTTCTGACAGAAAAATATGTTTTCACTCATCCTAGAAATATTGTGGAACCAAGGCCGGCGAATAGTCACTGAATCAGAGCAGATCAGCTCCATTCACTGAATGAGATGGAACAAGGCGTGGTCGGTTTGGAACAGCCGAGTGACCAAGTGTGGGGACCAGCCCCGTGGGGAGGACCGCCCGTGCCCACACTGGTAAGCAGACCAAGTGCGTCATTTGGAAAGTCATCCCTTGACCCTCGTCACGTGCCCCATTATTTTATGTTCACGTTACTCACCTGACTTCATTTTCATAGTTAACTTACTGACTTATTTTAAATTCTTGTAAAGACACCACACATATTAAGACTGTCATGAAAGGTAATGACCATCTTCCCCGCAGGTGCACTGTGTCTGTAGTTCGCAGTCCAGGCCTTCCTTTCATATGCTCTGCGGGTCTATCTGATGCCAGTAACATCAGCTCAGAGGAGTTACACGTGTTCTATATTATATACACTATGGAACAATATTTGCAGTTTATATAATATAGAAAAGTCATCAGACTTGGGAACGAGAGCTTTGCCTTAAAAGGCCACGCCAGGGTGGCATTCTGCCGCCCAGGATGCCTTATGTGCAAGAGAGAAATTTCTTTCAACATTAGTTGCTTAGTTGCAAAAACCTTTTATTTTCCGTTTAGATACCCCACTCTAATTCATGTATCCACTGACCCTGAAAAATGTCTGTTGCTGTTTTACTGTTACGAAGACATTTTTTCTGGGCACATCCAATTCACTGGCGCAAGAACTTATGTACATAAGAAAATACCTCGGTCTGAACGCGCGTGCCCGATAGCCCTCCTCCCCGCTTCCTGGGGGGCAGCAGAGAGCAGGCGTGTGAGCGCACCCTCACGTCCATGCAGTAGACAACAGAAGGGAGCCTTATTTCTGGCTGAAGATTCAAGGTACAGGTTGAAAATGAGAGAAATGTCTTTTAAAACCCTGACTTATATATGGTCTTGGGGTGATAGCCTAGTTGGTCCACAGTCCCATGGCAGAAGCCGCACGGCCAGTATGCAGAGGAAAAGAGGGGAGGGGGCGGGCAGGGAAGGGACGGTGGCCTCGCATGGAGAGATGGTATGTTTGCTTACTGACCCCCATCTGTCCAAAACAAAATTGGAGTGAAGGGAAAAATAAGTCTGATGATAACAGAGCTGTTAAGGTGAACAGAACACGGAGCATCTTGTTTGGAAAAGGAAGGTAATATCAAATAATACTCAAGGAAAGGAAAGGGAGGAGGTCGGGTGGCGTCATCCCAGGAAAGGTGCAGGGCCTGGGAGGGGGCAGTTCATTTCTGTGGCGCGCAGGGAGGCCTCCCCCGCCTGATGATTTGTGAACTTTGGTGTGCATTCGTGCACAGCAGTGGGCCCCCCACTCCGCACAGGGCTTCCCACAGTACATATACTTAGGCAAATACAGATTTACGTGGGGAACGAAGAACACTGTACATTTTCCAAAGGAAAACTTAAGTGTAAGGAAAGCCCAATTTTTATTCATGAATCCCGTTCACTCCTCAGTTTGCTCTCCAGGCAAGAAATTTACACTGGACATGTCTTTGCATGGTATGACAGAAGGTAGGCAGCAGATTAGAATGGTCCTGGAGGTGGAAGGCTGGAAGAGGCATCTTAGCCCCGGTCCAGGGATAGAGCGATAGAAGCGTGAGCGCAGTGCCCTGAGAGGGAGCCGGCGGGGTCTGCCCGGGACACCGTCCGCCTGAAGGTGGAGGTGGCAGTGCTGCTGGGAACCTGCTTATCTCGTCTGTTGAAATGAGAAATATGTTCCAGTTTGTCAGTTCTTAGTGGTGAAATGATCAGATTTTCATATTTATGGAGGATTAGCAAGCTCTGATGCATCTTACAAAACAGAAACAGCAACAGTGTCTGTCCTGCAGACTTGCTGCGAAGATCATAAAGACGTTAGCTATTTTTATCGTTCCTTTTTCAGTCCAGGTTAATTCCGTTTTCAAGTCGCACACATCATTTATTTTCTGGGGTTAAAAAGGATAGGAATGGACAAATGCCTCCTAGCCAGTAAAAGAGGAAGCTCTGTTAAGATTGAGAGATTATAAAATTTTAAATGTCCAGATCTTACAAATCTGAAAATTCAATATTGTTTCACCTGAAATACAGCAGTAATTGCATACTATTTGTAGTTTGAGGCTAATTCAGTAATATCCTGTCCAGGAAATGTTTCTCTTGATGTAGCACATTTATGAAAAATCAGAATGGAAACTGATTCAGAATTAAAAATTGCAGATTGTGAGGGCCATGATTTTAAGTTCGAATTGAGCACTCTGTAACAGTGTCAGCACGTTAGAAGTGAATGAAACTACACAGTCGTAGCCCGTACTTTCAGGGTTTTGTTTCCCTGGCTCTTGTTGGTTATGAAGTTTGAAGTGTGAGTTAAGAGGACAAATACAAGTATCTACAGAGCAAAGTCGTTGAGAACTGGACAGCTCTCATCAACCCCCAAGTCCGCCCAAGCCGTGTAAATATTCTTACTAGGGGTCAGACCGTCTTTTCAAATGATGAAAGTTAATAACCTACTCAATATAAAACATCTTGTATCTTGAATGACCCAACATACACATATTGCTCCAGGTTTCTAAGGAACCAACAAACTGATTCTCAATTCAAAAACTCTGCCCTTCATACATGGTTTGCAGATGGAATTACAGTGGTTCAGCTGTGGCATTGCTGGTGAAAAATATGAAAAAAGAAAAATGCTTATTTAGGACTGGCTTCTAACCCTTCGCAGACTTTTAATAGTTCACACAGTGCACTATTTTCTGCATCTGCCCGGTTCTGTTCCTTGGTTTCCTATCAATTCCTCCACACTTTCATCTTCGTGAAAGATTTTCCGTTACAGGGGCGCTAACCAGCTCTGTTGATGACTTACTCTGATCCAAACAACAAATTAAGCCCTTGGACTCTGCTGTCACAGCAATCCTGGGAGGTAGTCAGTGTTATTAAACTCCTTTTGACAAAAGAGACAACTGTGACTCAGAGAGATGGAGAAACCTGTCAGGGTCAGCCAGCCAGGAGGAGGGAGAGTTAGTCAGAATTTAAGCTGTGGTGTTCTGATGGGCCGCATTCTCCCAGCTCGCATACCTCTCATACCTGAACGTAATCCCCGGGGTGTGGCAGGTACTCAGCGCATGAACTGTTTTCTCAACAGTTAAAACAATGAAGGAGAGAGGACAAGAGTTATGATCCACAGTCTGTTGAACAAGATCTTGCTAGTGTTGAAGAACAAAAGAAAATTGAAGGTGAGGCATAGCCACCGGGTCAGTATCAACTCGTGTCACTCCGACGGTCAGCTTGTGTGGGGTGGGGGGAGTCAGAGGGCTTCTGGTCCCTTCCTTTACTTGATCAGTTTCTAATAAGTGGATACTTTGTTCCAGCTACTAGGACCATTTAAAACAACGGCTCTCCGCACAATTGTTGAAGACTGTCTATACTCCGGATTGTTTTCTCAACGTGCTCTTCAAATACCACGTTAGAAATACTTACCTGCACAGGAAATGTAACATCAGTTCTGTTATGTGACTGCACAAGGCAACCGGCTGCCCCCACCCCGGGAAAGTCAGTGGGCCTTTGGAGACAAAAAGAGCCTTGATGGTGTTTGAAAGATAAAAGTAGGTGAAAGAAGACATACAGAAACTGCAAAGCCACCTGGCCTGTCAGGTAGAGGCCTGGAGAAGTCACGACCCCCTGGCCACTGAGAGATGGCTGTACTCTGGGCGTTCAGAGACCGCGCTCATCATCTTGCTAATTCTGTGAACACCGTGGATTCGTTCCCCAGCTTACGGCATTACGAGGGCAGTGTCTCTGCGACGGGGGGGCCTCTCTGGCTTCATCTGCCTGCAGCACCTCGGCGCTCCGGGAAGCGCTGGCGGCAGGGAGTAGATATGCTGTATGATGTCACAGTGTCTCTGGCTTCCTGGAAGAGGTACCACCCACCAGACGTTTCAGAGAAGCGGACTCGGGATGCTGGATGCCCTCATGTGGAGGGCAGACACCCAGACAGCTCCACAGGCACAGAGGCTTCCCAGAGCCCGGGGGTCCGTGGCCCCAAGGCAGGCCCCCGACTCCTGGGCCTTCAGACGCTGTCCTCCCGCTCCTCGGAGCTGGCTCCCGGAGCGGAGGTTAAGTGGGGTCAGCTCTGAAAAGCAAGGTGGGTATCTTTTGAAGCATTTTGCCTCTGTGTAAACCTCCCTACATAGGATTTTTTAAAACAAGAAAGCAGTACGCGGGAGGGTATGGCTCAGTGGTGGAGCACGTGCTTGGCATGCACAAGTCCTGGGTTCAGTCCCAGTACCTCCTCTAAAAACACACTTAATTTCTCCCCCGCACCAAAAAAGAAAGCAGTACAGGTTGGATTGGAAAGGCATTTTTCTTTTTTTAAAATCTTCAAACATGTCAGAAAAGTAAGACATAGGATAAAAATACTTAGCCTGGACCTCACAATAAGACACTATTTTTTTGTTCTATAAGAAGAGACCGTAAGACAGTCCAAAAAATTCAAAAAAGGGAGTATAAAAAAATTGCCCTTTTTTTGGAGGGGGGGGTGGCTATTGAAGCCCACAGTGACCTTTTTTTCAGCTTTGTGTAAACGTCTGCCTTCGTTGCATTTACTGGCAGTGTCTGCATCTGTCCTCTTTCTTTTCCTCGCCATTTATTAACGTGGTGGTTTTAATTCCCCAGGAGCAGGGTGGGCTGCAGGGATGCTGCCTGGGGACGGAGAGGGTGCAGCGCCTGGCCCGGGGATGGCCAGTCCATCCTAATGAATTTGAGGAAAGCTGAAGTGAAACGAGGCTTCCTGGAGCCATCGTTTGTCTTCCTACTTGCTCTTTTGCTCATTAGCTTTCATACTGCACAGAGTGTAATTCTTAAAAGCCTCTTCACTGTCCCCTGAGAAGGCCCACGCGTGGGTCATTTTCTAATGGCCGTACACATCAGATGAACCGTCCTATCACTGCTCGCTCGGGGGCCTCTTCCTCACAGTTACTCCATCCTGCTCCATGTTATCGCAAGTACAAAGCTGGCTTTCTTTCTCTTTCTTTCTTTTTTTAAATCAGGGCAAACATGAGAGACACCGTTAAATGACTACAGGAATGGATCATGCACAGAATTTCAATGAATGCCTCTGAGGAACACCAGCACTGAATTCCATTTTAAATGGAAGAGGCTGTCATATTATTGAAGTAATTCTCTGAACTTTCCTGGCCCCGAGTGCTGTGCTGACAGCCAGAGAGCTTCCACAACCCAGAGGGAGAAGAGCTGCATGAAAGACTCACAGGCTTTCTACCTTCCTAATGAGGCTGTGTGGTTTGGAGGACCAGGTGGCATTCTCGCGTGTCTGCCCCTCTTCCGGTGTTGATTACGGACACACTTCCCTGTAGCCGGGTGGCAGCAAAGTGTTGTTGAGGCACCTGGAGGTAAGGTGGGGGCAAAGTCAAGACATTCCCCACAGTCACACTCCCTCTGATGGATAATTTCAGTGACACATTGCTTTTGATCTGCTGCTAGAACAGGATAATCATGAGGTCAGAAGTCAAGGGGGTCGAGATTTCTGGTCAAGATGGCAGAGCAGTAGGACCATGAGCTCGTCTCTCCCCTTGTGACTGTGACAAAACCACAACTGACTGTTAAACTACCATGGGAAGAAAAAGACTGGAACCTAGCAAAAAAGATCCTCTTGAAGTGGAAACAAAAAGAGGGAACCACGGTGGAACAGTAGGAGAGGTGCGCTTGTGATATAATCGGGCCCCGTTCCCCCCCGGGCGGGCAACCCACAAGCTGAAGATTAATGAGGTAGCAGAGGTTTCCCACGCGAGAGCGCTGAGCCCCACGCCAGGCTTCCTAGCCCAGGGTTCTAGCATTGGGAGGGGAGACCCCGGAACAGCTGGTTTTGAAGGCCAGGGGGCCTTAGCTCTAGGAGCCCCACTGGACTTGGGGAAACAGAATTCATTCTGAGGAAGTGCGTGCACAATCTTGCGCGCGCCAGGTCTAACGGCAGAGGCAGTGATTTTATAGGTACCTGGGCCAGAAATGCCAGCTGGTTTTGTGAAGTCTCCTGGGGAGGTAGGGGACGGCTGCAGCTCACCCAGGGGACATAAAAGCTGGTGGCAGACATTCCGAGAGTGTTCATCTACATGAGCTTTCCTGGAGGCTGACATCTTGCTTGGGTCATTAGCGCCAGGACCTAGCCCCATCCAACAGCCTGTAGGCTTAAGGGCTGGGAAACCTCAGGCCAAACAACATACTGGGTGGGAACACAGCATCCCCCCCCCACTCCCCCATCAGCAGACTTCCTGAGCCACAAACGCCTCTAGACACACCCCAACTCCTCCTGCCAGGAAACCTGCACAAGCCTCTAGTCCAGCCTCACCCACCAGGGGGCAGATACCAGAAATAAGAAAACAGCCATCCCACAGCCTGTGGAATTACCCACAAACACAGGCCCGACTCTGCCCTGGCCCTTGGGTGACAAGAGGGGAGTATATGTACTGCTGGGACACACAGGGCATCTCTCACAAGAGGGCCACTTCTCCACAAGGTTGAGAAATGGAACTGACCTACCTAGAAATACAGATAGGAAGTTAGACAAGATGAGGCACAGAGGAACATCTCCCAGGCTGAGGCACAAGATAAAATCCCGGAAGAGGAAATGAGGGATGAGGAGGCAGGCCCTCTGTCTGAGAGAGAGAGAGTAGAGTTATGATGGTGAAGATGTTAAGAGAACTCAGGAGGAGCACAGATACACAGAGTAAAGTTTTTAGCAAAGAGTTCAAAAACATAAATAATACCCAGAGTTGAGGAATAAAATTAATGAAATGAGTAACACAGTAGAAGAAACCAAGACTAGACTAAATGAGGCAGAAGAACAGATCAATGAGCTCGAAGACAGATTAGTGGAAATAACTACTGCAGAACAGAAAAAAGAATAAAAAGAAATGAGGATAGTTTAAGAGAACTCTGGGACATCATGAAAGACACAATACTCATTACAGGGGTCCCAGAAAGAGAAGAGAGGGACAAAGGGCCTGAGAAAAGTTTTGAAGAGATAATAACCAAAAACCTTTCTAACTTGGGAAAGGAAAGTGTCACCCAAGTCCAGGAAGTGCAGAGAGTCCCACACAGGATCAGCCCAAAGAGGAGCACACCAAGGTCCACAGTAATCAGATTTACAGGGCTTAGGGAAAAGCACTAAAGTCACCAAGAAAAAGCAACAAATAACATACAAGGGAACTCTCCCATAAGGTTGGTTATCAGCTGATTTTTCAGAAACTACAGGCCAGAAGGGAGGGAGGGGCACAATACACTTAAAGTGATAAAAAGGAGAAACTTATAACCAAGAATACTTTTCCCGGCAAGGCTCTCACGCAGACTTCATGGAGAAATCAAAAGCTTCACAGATAAACAAAAGGTGAAAGAATTCAACACTACCAAACCAGCTTTACAACACATGTTTAAGGAAATTCGCTAGTCATCAAACCACAAGAAGAGAGAACGAAAAGAAGAGAGAAAGACCTACAAAAACAAACCCAGGACAATTTTTTAAATGGCAATAAGAATATACATCATAATAATTACCTTAAATGTAAATGGAGTAAATGATCCAAACAAAAGACACAGACTAGCTGAATGGATACAAAAAGAAGACCCAGTATCTGCTGTCTACAGGAGACCCACCTCAGAGGCAGAGACACATGCAGGCTGCAAGTGAGGCAATGGAAAAAGATACTCCACGCAGAGACCTGAAGAAAGCTGGTAGCAATACTTACATCAGACAAAACAATTGAAAGACTGTTACAAGAGACAGAGGAGGACACTACATAATGTTCAAGGGATCAATCCAAGAAGAGGATATAACCATTGTAAATATACATGCACCCAACAGAGGAGCACCTCACGATAATAGGCAAGTGTTACAGACATAAAAGGAGAAATTGACAGTAACAGTAACAGTGGGGACCTTAGCACCCCACTTCCATCAGACAGAGCATTCAGTCAATAAGGAAATACAGGCACATTGGACCAGATGGACTTAATTGAGATCTATAGAACATTCCATCCTAAAGCAGCAGAACACACATTCTTCTCAGGTGCACATGGAACATTCTCCAGAATCGACCACATGCTGGCCCACGAAGCCAGCCTCAGTGAGCGTAAGAAAACTGGAGTCATACCAAGTGTCTTTTCCAGCCATAATGCTAAGGTTAGAAATCATCTACAAGAAAACAGTTGCAAAAACTGCAAACACATGGTGGCTAAACGATATGCTACTAGACCACCAACAGATCACTGAAGAAATCAAAGAGGAAACAAAAACTACTTTGAGAGAAATGAAAACAAAAACGCATCGATCCAGAACCTCTGGGATGCAGCAAAAGCAATTCTAAGATGGATGTTTATAGCAATACAAGCTTACCTCAGGAAACATGAAAAATCTCAAGTAAACTACCCAACCTTATACCTAAAGCAGCTAGAGACAGAAGAACAAACAAAACCTAAAGTTAGTAGCAGAAATAAATGAAACAGAGACTAAAAAACCACCAAGAGATCAATGAAACTATAAGCTGGTTCTTTGAAAAGATAAACAAGACTGATAAACCTTTAGTCAGAATCATCAAAAAGGGGGGGGGGTCCAAATCAATAAAGAGACATTACAGCCGATACCACAGAAATACAAGGGATCATAAGAGGCTGCTATGAGCAACTATACACCAAGAAAAAGGACAACCTAGAAGAAATGGACAATTTCTTAGAAAGGTTCAATCTGACAGGAGGGAACCAGCAAGAAATAGACTGTGAAGACCAGTCACCAGAACTTAAATTGAATCAGCAATCTAAAAACTCCCAACAAACAAATGTCCAGGACCAGATGGCATCAAAGGTGAGTTCTACCACCAAACATTTAGAGAAGAGTTAACACCTATTCTGAAACTATCCCAAGAAACTGCAGAGGAAGGAACATTTCCAAACTCATTCTATGAGGTCATCATTACCCTGATAGCAAAACCAGACAAAGATGTCACACACACAAAAATTATGGGCTAATAACACATGAATATAGAGGGAAGTCGACTCCAGCAATTCATTAAAGGGATCAGACATCATGATCAAGCAGGATTTATCCCAGGGATACATGGAGTTTTTAGCATCTGAAGATCAATCAGTGTGAAACACACAGTAACAAACTGAAGAGTAAAAACCCGTATGATCACTCCAATAAATGCAGGAAAATCTTTTGATGAAATTCGAACATTCATTGATGAAAACTTCAGAAAGTGGGCAGAAACAGAATATATCTCAACATAACAAAGGCCATATATGACAAACCCACAGCTAACATTATACTTAACAGGGAAAAGCTGAAGGCATTTCCTCTAAGATCAGGAGTAAGACGAGGATGACCAGTCTCACTTTTATTTGCTATGGGTTGGACCTCCAAAATAATATTAATCAGTCAGAGAAAAAAGAAATGAATCCAAATTGGAAAGGAAGAAGTAAAGTGTCACTATTTGCAGATGACATGACACTACACATAGAAAACCCTAAAGAAGCGGCCAGAAAACTACTATAACTCATCAATGAATTTGGCAGAGTTGCAGGATACAAAGTTAATATACAGAAATTAGTTGCATTTCTATACACTAGCAGTTAAGTAGCAGAAAAAGAAATTAAGGAAACAGTAACATTGACCATCGCACCAAAAAGAATAAAATACCTAGGAATAAACCTACCCCAGGAGGCAAGAGACCTGTACTCTGAAAACTAAGACATTGATGAAAGAAACTGAAGACAACATAAACAGATGGAAAGATACACTGTGTTCTTAGATTGGAAGAATCAATACTGTTAACACGGCCATACTGCCGAGGCAATGTGCAGACTCGGTGCAATCCCTATCAAATTACCAATGACACCTTTCACAGAGCTGGAACAAAAAAAAGTTAAAATTTGTATGGAGACACAAAAGACCCCGAATACCCAAAACAATCCTGAAAAAGAGGAATGGAGCTGGGGGAAATCATGCTCCCTGACTTCAGACTATACTGAAAGCTACAGTGATCACAACAAACAGGATGAAAAGCCCCCAGATAAACCCACACACTTATGGTCAATTCATCTCCGATAAAGCGGGCAGGAATACACCATGGAGAAAAGACAGTCTCTTCAATAAGTGGTGCTGGGAAAACTGGACCCCTATCTGTTAAAGACCGAAATTAGAACATTCTCTAATACCATATACAAAAATAAACTCAAAATGGATTCAACTTAATTTGTTTTATATTAAAGATGTATTTTTTTAAATTGTTCTTATTTGGGGTGGGGGGAGGTAATTAGGTTTATTTTTTTAATGGAGGTACTGGGGACTGAACCTAGGACCTGGTGCTTACTAGGCACATACTCTACCACAGACTATACCTTTAAATGTAAGATAGTATAAAATTCCTAGAGTAAAACATAGGCAGAAAACTCTTGGACATAAATCACAGCAATATATTTTTGGAACTAGCTCCTGGAGTAATGGAAATAAAAGTGCAAATAAACAAATGGGACCTAATTAAAAGCTTTTGCACAGTTAAGGATACCATCAACAGAACAAAAAGACAACCTACAGAATGGGACAGAATAGTTGCAAATGATGCAACAGACAAGGGACTAATTTCCAAAATACACAAACAACTCATACACCTTAATATCAAAAAACAAACAACCCAATCAACAAATGGGCA